GTAGGGTGAGGTCTAGGGATCGAGCCCGAGATACTGCATCTGCTACTGCAAAAGGTGAAAGCCGTTTCACTCCCACCGTCCTAAATTCGAGGTCCTCCGAGAATATTTCAGTCCAAGGCAGGACCTTTACCCTTCCTATCACGCTCATAGGCTCTGACTATGTCGGGAGCTGTTTCTAGAAGTTACGTTCTTGTGAACCAGCGGTCGTCTTCCGGTTCCTGATAGGCAAACCGGACCTTGTACTGCTTCTGGGGACGACCTCTACCTCCTGTTCTAAACACATCTTCGTCTACAATGCCTTCTATGTCATAGCTCCCATCAATGTCCGGGGGGATCATGGATCTTCTTGAAGGGAACTGTTGACTTGTGACACACGGCAACAGCTTCGAAGCATGGAACACCGGGTAGGTGTGGAGGTGTGCTGGAATCTCAATACTGTAGGACGGTCCATCCTCTCCGCCCTTGACTTCTAGAACTGGCCACGGTCCTCTATATGCAGGCAGTAACTTCTGCGAGATGTTTTCCTCAGGTGCAAACTCTTTAGCCTTGACCCAGACTAAGTCGCCTACCTTAAACTGCGACGGGCGACGATGCTTATTAGCCTGTTCTATCATTCTATGTTGGGCCTTCCTAAAGTTCTCTACAACGGTTGCTAGTTCTTTCTCGTGCTGTATCGCGAACTCCCTGGTACCGGGCGGTAACCTGTGAATCTGATCCCGGTTCAGTCCTTTGAATGGTCTACGCAGTCTAAAGGACTTATGCAGCTCGTTGGGAGTGCGACAGGTGGATAGATGCACGCTGTTGTTGTATGCACTAGCTACCTTGGGTAACATCTCATCCCAGTCGATCTGATCGGGTCTAATGTACATGAGCAAAACTTGCTGTAGGATCTTGTTCATCTGTTCAGTCTGACCGTTAGTCTCTACATGGCGGTCAGATGACATCAACAACTTAGATCCGTAGACTCTCATGAGTTCTTGCCAGCTCTGGCTGGTGAAACGACTATCTCTATCGCTAACTATCGACAAAGGGATTCCATTCTCACTAACCCAAAAGTCAAAGAACTTCTGTATAACTAAGTCTGTACGTGCCTCTACAGGCAAAAGAACAAAAACTGCATACTTACTAAATCGGTCAACTATGACCATGACTTGGCTCTTACCATGCCTGCTCTTGACTTGGGTGTCCATGAAGTCTATGGACACTAAGTCTCCCGGCTGATCAGGAATAGGCAAGGGTCTGAGAAGACCTAGAGGGGCACACGTAGTAGTCTTATTCCTCTGGCAAACTTTGCAACTGCGGACATACTCTATGCAATCATTCTTCATTCCTGGCCAGGTGTACGCACACATCAGGTTGGCTAAAGTCTTTTACCAACCGAAATATCCCTCAGTATCGTGGCATTCCCCTAGGATCAAACTACGAATCTCTTCGTTGTTGGGAACACACAGGTGGTCAAATACGTTAGTCTTTTCAAACAGCAACCCGTCTGTAGTGCGGTAATCTGGTTCAGTCTCTGGGGCCTCTCTAACTCTCTTTAGGAGGTCGCTATAGATGGGGTCCTGCGCATACGCTTGCTTCACTTTCTCTTGCAGGTCTCTCCCTATATCTAGATAGTGTACTATGGCTCCAAAGTAGTCTGATCTCCTACTCAGAGCGTCCGCAACTACGTTGTACTTGCCCTTCACTGGCTTGAGCTCAAAGTCATATTGGTCTATCTCCGCGACCCACCTAGTCAACTTAGGTGTCATCTTGGCCTGAGTCTTTAACCAACGAAGCGTCTCATGGTCAGAATATACTTTGAAGTGCCTCCCAAGCAGGTATTGCTTCCAATGCTCTAGAGCCTGCCTGAGAGTGTATAGTTCTCTCTCATATGTCGAGGTGGCTACCTTCTCTGAGGGCATCCTTGCTGACATGAACTCTATGGGTCTATAACCATTGTCGTCGTCTTGCTGCAACACGACGCCTATACCATACTGACTCGCGTCCGTGGTGACGATAAATGGTAGAGACGGATCAACTACTTTGGGGACAGGATACTCTATTAACGCGCGCTTTAATCTCTTTAGCGCAGACGTACAATCTTTATCCCATTGCCAGATTGCCTCTTTCTTAAGCAACTTGTGCAGGGGAGCGGCAATAGTAGAAAAGTTTCGCACGAACTTTCTATAGTAATTAGCTAGGCCTAGGAACGACCGCAACTCTGTCAATGTGCGGGGCGTCTGCCAATCTCTGATCGCCGCGATCTTGCTGTCCTCTGGCTTAATACCATCTCCGTCTAATATGTGGCCCAAATACAGGACTTGTGTCTTGGCCCACTCGCACTTCTCCGCGTTGATCTTGAAGTTTGACTCTCTCAACTTCTCCAAGATCTGCCTCAGATGACCCTGGTGCTCTTGGAGGGTCCTACTGAAAACTAATATCCAAGTAGACTACTACAAACTTGTCTAACCACGGTCTAAACAAATCGTTCATACATCGCTGAAAGGTGGCTGGCGCGTTAGTTACTCCAAAGGGCATCACTATGAACTCATAGTGCCCATATCTAGTCCGGAACGCAGTCTTGTACTGGTCATCAGGATGGACCTCTATCTGATGGTATCCGGTCTTCAAGTCTATCTTAGAGAAATACTTGCAACCCTGCACCCGATCTAGAAGATCACCTATCCTGGGCAGTGGCTCAACATTCTTCACTGTAATCGCTTTCAAACCCCTATAGTTTATACGCATACGAAACTTTCCTTCCTTCTTGGGGACAAACAGAACAGGTGCTCCAAAAGAAGACGAACTGGGCCTGATCCAGCCTTTCTCGAGGAGTTCGTCTAATTGCTTGCGTAACTCCTCCAACTCTCTAGGGGACATCCTGTAGACTGCTCCCTTAGGAGTTCTACTGCTAGGCTCTATCTCTATCCTGTGCTGGATGGGTCGCGACACTACTCCTGTCGGTGACTCAGTTAAGTCTTTGAATTCCTCCAGCAGCTTGGCTATGGTTGGATCTGTAGAACTATCTTCTTTCTTGGCCTCAGTGACAGGTCTAACATAAACTACAAAGACCTGGTCCTCTAACTGCTCCTTTTTCACTAGTCGCGCGAACGCGGGAGCACTGAGGCAGCAATGTGCCAAGGTGTTATCTACACCTGACACATGGAATAGGCGGGTTGTCTTTACCTCACCTGATGGACTAGGGAGACTACACTCATGCTCTCTCAAATGGAGTGTGGCCCCCGCTGCCTCTCCCCAATCCATTCCTAAGACTACATCGAAAGGAAGGTCATCCTGTACGAGGAGAGTCAAGGAATGGAGAACTTTCTCCATCTGCCCATCTTTCTCTAAGCGAAAGTACGCTTGGACTCCCTCTACATAGTCCTCAACACGCATCGTGCGGTTGTCTGCGAGGACACTGACTATGGGGTCTGCCAATTTCTGGACCTTTAATCCTAGCCTTAACTTTTTCAGTGCTTCGCGGCTAATATAACTGCGGGTGGCCCCTGAGTCTATAAGGGCCCCTACTCTACTCCTGAAAACTTCTACATCTACCAAGATCAATTGTCCTTTATTCTCTTTCTTCATTTTCGCCCAGGCGGGCATCCTCTCCTTTAACTCTTTTGTCACACCTGTGAGGGACGTGCCTAGAGAGACGCTAACACAAGCAGTCTCTAGATAACTATCTAGGCACGGGCCTGCAACCTCTGTCATAGGCTTATGTGGGTTGGGAGTGTCCTGTTCGCACGCGCTCACTTCTCCACATGGCCGTGAAGTAGGGGCAGTTGCAACCCCTACTGGCGGCTGCCTTTTGACTGCTGGGCAGCCCAATGGGTCTGTTTGTACTTTGGACAAAATTTAATTACGTGGGCCGGGTCACCACAAAATACGCATTGACCCTGGTCTACGTGTTCCTGCCATACGCGCTGGTCCAAGACCAAATCTTCCCAGGGCCTGCCCTGTGGCAAGCCTGGGTGCCATCCTCCTTGAGGTGGCCTTCCACCTCGTCGCTGTGGGGACCGACTAGAACCTTGGCGATTTGGCGGGGGACCTTGACCCCTACCTCCCACTTGGCGGTTTCCTTGTCCCCCAACCCCCTGTGCGCCCGGTCCTCGGCCTCCCGTGGCCTGGCCCCTTTGCCCCTGGCCTCCTCCTCTAATTGGCGGCCTCGCTCCAACCGCGACAACAACATAGGACCTCCCTTGCCCCACACTATTGTCCTCTTCCTTGAGGCCCCACTCAATCTGACTATATGGGACCTCGTCAGTACCACCTTCTTCTAAGGTAAAGATCATGTGATCCTTGGCCCTCACTTGGCCTGAGATGTTACGGTCTTTCCACCTTTTCCCCTTATCCAAGTCCTTGTGCCAGAAAGTGTTAACTGGCATGAACCTTGACTCATACAAGACCACTTTCCTACTCAATGCATCATAAGTGATGCCGGCCTGTTGAGATTTGTCAAAGAAATGCCCACGCAGGGCCTCTGGCATGGTACGATAAAATTACTGGACCAATTGGGTCTTAGTGACCCCATGGTCTGGGACAGCTACCAAGTCATCCACGGTGCCCTTGAGTGCTCTTGTACTCCTTCACTGTCGCGAATGGATCGTTTGTAGCTTGTCAGAGGCGCGAACGCCTCTCGTTGGGTCTGCAAATCGCTCCCTCAGGAGCTTGAAGAACTGAGGAAGGGGGGTGCCTTTAGAGTAAGCAACCAGGTACAGCCGACTGTGCACGCGATGGATCTGGCGAAACTGGCCGCTTCGTCTTTGAGGGCCTGGAGAGCTACGAGGACTTGCTCTTCTGTCAGGATGTGCTGTAGGTACACATAACTATTGACACTGGCCTCCCAGTTGTCAAAGTTCTCCTCCTTCTTTCCCCCGTTGTCAAAGTTCTCCTCCTTTACGGGCTCTTTACGGGGTCTGGCCTCGCCCTCTGCTGCGGCTATCGCTTTAGCACTTTCAATGGCACCATCGCAAAACTTTCCCACGTTGTCCCTTAGTTGTCTGACTTTGCCCCCAATATGGGTGACCATATCGCGCGCAAAGTCTCTGAACCCCGACCGCATGACACTCGAGGCTACCTCTTGACTTCAACTGGCTTGACGCTCCTCCATCCAAGCCGCGCTCAACACCTCCAAGTATCCCAACACTTTATTCCATTTGGCCTTGTCGTATGCCTGGGCCTGCACTTCTTTCCTACAATCTTGCACCTTTGCCACCTCTGCGGTCAGTCTATTGACTTCCTCCCTCCTTCTCTTCTTCTCCCTCTTCATTCTCAATTTCCATGCCAACTTTTGCTCCTCCTCCCTTTCTCGCCGTTCCATAGGGTCCTTCATTGCTGCTAGCTCCCTGGCTAGTGCATCTCTCTCACCCTGAGGCACATAAGACTCCGCCTCCTCGTCTTCTCTGAACGATAAATTAGCGACCCACTCACTTATCTTTTTCTCCATCTCTGCGTCTTTATCCTTTTTCGTGACACTGTTCCCTTCTCCACTCTCAATCCGCATTCTATCTTTTTCTTCCTCTGTTGCCGCTTCTTCCTCAACAACCTTTCTCCTCTCTTCCTCCTCCTGTTGAACCCTCTTCATCTCCTCCTCTAACCTCTTCATCTTAGTCGCCTGCTCCTCTGCGATAGCCTTTAACTTCGCCTGCTTCTCGAGCTCTTTCCTTTCTTTGTTCTCTCTCACTAAGGCGGCCATGTTCTCTTGCTGTTCCTGAGTGTAGGGGCTAGTGCTCAACCCACTCCGGGTGTCAACCATGGTGATAAGTGTACAACCGGATTAGTGGTTCGAAACCCCACCATGTAGACTCTAAGCCCTGACTGACAGACCTACAGACTCAATCTAAGACTCACAGAATCCGTACAGGGATCCTGCCAACTAGGGTCTATAGCCATGACCTAACTATGGCTGTCACTACTAGACCTGTTGCTGATCAGGAGGCATTTAAGGAGATCCCCCGTAACTCCTCAGGAATTATTTAATGTCGCAGACAAGACGACGCGATCAGCAGGTCTCTCAAGACTTAGACGGTCCACAGCTCGGATTTCGGGCCTACCGTGCCACACCGAGCAGCCCGTCGGTTAGTACCGGTCCTTGGGAAGGTTCGTGTCCATCAGGACAGTCGAGTCATCAGACACAGCTTTTAACCCTACTCATCCTGTGTGGGTTTGGTCAACAAAACCCTATCCTTCATCCACAAAGTACTATCACCTAGGACAGAAGAGACTCGATGCAGAAAGAATAGACAGACAGACTGGACTCAACTAGTACCAAGGGGTGTGTGCACATCCATAGGGCGAGGGATAGGTTGAAGGCTTGGCGAGATGTTACCGGCTCCAGCTTGGTCAAAGTAGTGGTCAACACCTTGGTCAACGCCGGTAAACGCTGCGGTCAACCCCCGATCAACCCCCGGTCAACCCCCGGTCAACTCCGGTCAACGCCGGTCAACACCTCCGGTCAACCCTTCGGTCAGCTATGGCTGCCGGCTCCTCTTCCTCGCCAACCCTCTTCTCCCTTTCACCTTCCTTGCCTCCTTTCACCCCGGCTGTTTTCTTCTCGCTTTCTCTTTATTTTTTTTTATTTTTTTTTTTGGATCGGCCCTCTCTTCACCTCTCAGCTATGGCCTCTTTCTCTCCCTTCTCGGTCTCTCCCCTTCTGTCCGGTCTCTCTCCCTCTTTCGTTACTCCGTGGTGACACTCCGCGGCTAAGGCCTCTTCTCCTTTCTCCACGTGGGACTGCACAGCTCGCTTCACAGGTATGTGACAACCAAACTTGTATCGCTCATCTCTCTCTCTCTCTCTCTCTCTCTCTCTCTCTCTCTCTCTCTCTCTCTCTCTCTCGCCGTAGCGGTATCTTCAGCGCAGCAGGTACATAGTAACCCAATCTTGTATCGCTCAACCTTACTCTCTCTCTCTCTCTCTCGGTCTTCTTCTTCGTCGTGGTCTTCTTGCAGGTGCGCGGCGGCTTCTCCAACCTCAGGTCTGCTATGGCGGACTACAACCTTCGGCGGCCACCTCTTCTATGGCGCATCAGGCCCTGCACACGATGGCGCGCATGGAATAGCGGGCACCAGCTCCGATACCAATGCAATCAGACTCATTCTCGTTCACAGTTTTCATGCATGTAAACAGCAACGCAGCAAACTGGCGACATGCGCCCACTCAAAACTTAGAGATATGGTATCCAGATACGAATTCACTTTCAACTGGCTATGGCGACTCAGCGCCCCAACGACTCACTGTTCACATACACCGGATCACCCTGGATACCGCACACGTGTCACTCTGAACACTCACACATACACACACACACACACATACTTCACACTAAACTACAACTATGGCAGCTATGGCTGCCTCTACCCTATCGCTATGCTACACTCCTTCTCTCTTGCCCACTTTAGCTCCGGGCTCTTTGCAGACCTCCTTGCACAAGTCGCTGTGGCAGCGCTTCCGCATGGCTCACGCAGGAATGAATGAAAGGCTGGGCGCTGCCTCTTGATTTATACTTCTGAAACTCGGTGGTCTGCCCCTTTCGATCGGCCCCTGGTGCTCACAGTCCCTCGTGGTACTTGCTGGACCGAACTGGGACTGGCTGGACCTTACCGCTGACGGACTGTGGATTCACCGCTATCCTACCGTAATCGTACTGCAATTGCACTGCACCACTTGCCCACTTGCCCACTTTCTGACCTTCTAGAAGGACGACAACTAGGCTTCTGGAACTCGCTAAGACTTCTACTCTATAGGTCTACGAATCGAACCCCTGCTACCCTTGGACCTAGAACAGCCTACCAACTGTTTACGAATACACAGGTCACATGTTCAACTCTCGGGGTCTACACAGGTACTGTAACTGTACATGGGTAGGGTGAGGTCTAGGGATCGAGCCCTGGATACTGCATCTGCTACTGCAAAAGGTGAAAACCGTTTCAGTTTGACTTGGTGAGGATTTTCGAACCGGTTTTCATTCCTCACCCATGAACATAAATGCCAGGAATGAAAACTCGTCAAATTTTAAAAAGTAAAACCTGCCACATTTCGTGGCCAAATGACAATACCAGAAACATGAACCCTCCTTCTCTTTGCACACTAACCAAAGCACGACCTTACGATCCCTTCTCTATCTGTGGCTGGCAAGCGTGTCACACAGAAGAATGATCCTCGTTCCTATACTTTTCTCACCTCTAGTGGGACTTGGCCCCCGTATGCCTACAATTAGGAGTAGTGGTAGGTAGGTAATGTGAGGTGAAACTGATTAGCCCCAGGTAAATTTAGAGTTATTTTACTCATTGAATTCTGTCTGGATTCAAACTCAGGTTTGTTCATCAACAGTTCTTGGCTGTACCATTCAGCCACACTGGCTGGGTAATCATCTGGATTTGAACTTGGGTCTGCATTTCAACAATTTATGGTTGTACCCACTGAGGGCACGCTCACACTGCGGTAGCAAATCCGTATAAATTGCGAAAATGGGTTGGGCCAAATTGGGGTATTTGGGACGTTTCAGGTCACACCGCGTTCACACCGCGTTCCGTTTCGCTAAAGACACAGTCGCTACCAAGCCATCAGGGTGCTGCTGTTTGGGGTTTCCAGTCACACAGAAGTAACCCCAAATATAGAACGTACATTTTTTTTTTTATATTTTATTTAATTCTGCCTTTTTCCTTTTTCAATTGATACCCGGTGTAAATCTTCGTTTTCAACTTTGCATTCATTTATGAAAATTAATTAAAAAAAGAATAAGGATTTTGCGATAACCTCTGGAGGTTACCGCAAATTCCTCGACCCCGTGGCCAGGCAGACCGCTGACAAATAGGTTTGCGAATGGGGTGTTTGGGGTCGGAACCATTGTGTGTGACGAGACGTGTGCACATTTTTTTGGGAGTTTTATGGTTTTGGTACCTAGTGTGAGCGTGCCCTGACCTAGGCTCTTGGGTTGTACTGGTATTTTTCATTTTTTCGGGTCGTGTTTTTTTTTTTTTTTGGCTAAAACGAGTGCACATTTTGGCAGTGTTTGCAATCTTCAATTTTTTGCGGGACTGCACTTCCCCAAATCACACAGACATTTTCCAACCCCGCCTACACGTACCTGACAGTAATCGCGTCCACACGAAAAACCCCGCCTACACGTACCTGGCCGTAATCGCGGCAATTGCATCCACAAAGAAGTGCGAAAAGTGGCAGTGTGAGTATGCCCTGAGGTAGACCCGTTGGCCACTCCACGTTCTCCAGGGTACTAGGCCTACGTAGGTCATGGAACGGACAGAGTTCTTGTGAAGACATAGACGCATGCCTTCAGTCAGCCGCGGCAGATGCGGGGCGGAAGATGCGGGGGAGATAGCGGAAGCATCGACATTTTCGAGGTCGACCGTATCGCTCACGGGATTTGCTTCCTCGCATCAGGGCATCACCATCGTGGCATCGCCCCCAACTCTCTGCATGACTGGAGGGAACATCTATTTGCCACCACTATCGGCCTTGAGTACGACTTTTTCCCTACATCGTTTGTCTTTCTCTCAGATCGACCATCTTCAGGGCAAACAGAGAGAGAGAGAGAGAGAGAGAGAGAGAGAGAGAGAGAGAGAGAAAGAGGCAACGGGAGCGGAATCTGCAGCGACGTCCACGTGGCACGAAGAGAGAGAGAGAGAGAGAGAGAGNAGAGAGAGAGAGAGAGAGAGAGAGAGAGAGAGAGAGAGAGAGAGAGAGAGAGAGAGCGAGAGTGCGCAACGTCTCTCATCCACCATATGAGAGGAGGAGAAACTTACTCATTCTCCTCGCTCCTTCGCCCCTCCAGTGTTTCTCTCATCACGACAGTCAGTGTTGCCAACAACGGTATTACAAGGGATGCGGTTCGAGACGCTCCGTCCTTCGCTAAGGTCGCCGAGACCATCTTCAACGTGCTGCATGGTAGGTGCACTCATGACAGCTTATCACTTCTCTCGTCTTCGCTCCAACATCCACTCCCTATTTGCCACTTTTTCTTCTTCCTACACATATGATCATCATTATGCGATCTGAACACATTTTCGGTCGCTTTTTCTCCCTTTCACATATCCGCTGGTTTTGTTACCTCCCTTTTTGTCATTTCCTCCCATCTAAACTAAAGCAGTTGCTTCGTGGATTCCCATTCTGATTGTTGTGTGCCCTCTATCTCTGTCCTCCTGTTCGTCTTTCTCTGCCTTTGCTTTTGTATCTCTGCCCTGGTCCTCGTGCTCCTACAAATCCCTGTCCTTTTGATTGAATTCCTACACTCCCCTCTGTCTTTTGTATGTGTTGTTCTTATGCCCTTCTCTATATAAGCCGATCTTTGTCCTCCCCTTGTATTGTCCTTATATGTATGCAAGTTTTGGGCCCCTGTCTGTATGTTTACTTACGTTACTGGATGCTTTTTTCATCAGTGCAGAGAGAAATGCACTTCCACGCTTTGCATGCCTTGTCCGTACTTGTCGCGCTTGTGATGACGATCATGATGCTTTTTCCTGTTTTTCTCACGTTAAGACAAACGCATCGATAGAAACGTGAACTATGTGGTGAGCTTCGGCTGATGTCGGTTGCCTCTATGTCCCCGAACTATGTGGAGTGGAAATACCTTGCCAAAGTCGGTCCTTACAAACAATCATTAATGCCTACAACTGTCGTTTGTACACCGCGACACTCATCGGGAGGGGGAGTGTACTTGGAAAAACTTGTGTTAATGCCTTTGTCACAAATTCACACCGTAGGTGGCGGTCTCCTGTGTTTTTTTTTTTTTTTTTTTTTTTTTCGTTGTAGGTGGCGCTCTGATGTTTTTTTTTATAATTTTTTTTTCTGTACTCAAGGTTAGTTGCGAGTTGTTGTATGTTTTC